ACTACAAATTCTCCAACACAATTATTATTATCATAAGGACATTTTTGATTAAGCAAGGCTAAATATTTTCTTTAAAATTAATATTAATTAGTTTAAATTAAAATTAATAAATTTTAAATTAATTAAATTTTTTTATATATAAGTTTTAGCCTCTTTAGTTCTTCGGATATTAAGATCTTCATTTAATAATTGCTCAAAATCATTTTCCATATCCACATCCAAATGAATTTTAGTTTTAATTGCTGGATCTAAATTTTCACATATCTTAACACCCTGACATGTATAATGAGATTTTTTAACCATAGTATCAAAAAAAGGACAATAAATATCAATATCTCCGCCTCCACTTGATCTACCAAGATTATATTGCATCTATTATATAAATTAATAAGTAAAAAAAATCAAAAATTAATATATTAACTTTAGAATTAAAAAATCAATACACTAAATATTATACTTACACTGCTTGTAAAAGAAGAAATATTTTCCCATGCTTCAATATTGTAAATAATAGCAATACCATTTTCTGATGTAGGAGGATATTCTATAGGAAGAATACTATGAATAATTTCATTAACCCTTAATTGCTCTGTCATCAAATAAATTTCTTCGCAGTCTATATCATTTTTAAATTGATTATTCTTTCAAAATTAATTTAGTTAGTAATTATACTATTAATAAAAATTTATAATATAATAATTACATACATAATTAATCATTATAGAACTAGAACTTTTGCCATAATTATTTTGAAAATTATTAAAAATTTTTCAGTACGCTGAAAATTTTCTAAAATTTCAAATGAGCTTTCATTATTTAGATTAATTTCATCAGTATATTAAAAATCTTCGAATATTTCAAATGAATCATTATCTGGAATAATTTCTTGAACATCTTCATCAGAACTATCATATATTGTTGAATCAGAAATATTTTCTTCACTCAATAAATTTTTTAAATCTATGATAATCTTGCAATAAAAATTTGTCAAAATGAATCTTTGTAATATACGCTATAAAAAAATTTTATATACTTCTAACAATTATTATTAAAAATATAAAGATAGTTTAAATTTAAACGCATTGTATATATATCATTATATATATACGTATATATATAATAAACTTTATATAAAATTATATATATATATATGTAAGTCAAAATACAAAAATATATATTTACTAAAATATATATATTTATACTAATATATATACATACGTATATATATATATATATATATAAAGTTATATTTCTATATATTTAATTTGTAATATATTAAAACTGGATTTATAAAATTGGCATAATGTATATAATACATGTGACTTTTATTTTAGATAACAACATTTGTGTATTTAATAGAAAAACTTAAATAATATATAGTCAAATAAGTCAAGTTCAAAATAATTGTACTTATTAAAATTTGCTATAACTGGCAATTTAAAAGCAATTGTAATCAAATACAATACGGAAGTTTTAGAAAAAGTTAAGGTAGT